AACTTTACCTACCGAACCTTAGATAACTGTTTTTTGGGTGAATTTCTGTGTTACTGTAATCAATAATTTGTTTATTTATTTTAAAAAAGTAAGCTAATGCGTTCGGTAGGTTATCTTTACCTATCTAACCTAAAATAATTCTTGGGTGAATTTCTAAGCTAACGTAATCGACGATTTTGTATTTTATTTGATCTGTAGGTTATCTTTACTTACCGAACCTAAAATAACTTTTCTTGGGTGAATTTCTGAGCTAATGTAATCAATAACTGAGGGAATGAATCCTAATATCATCTTTAGTTGGTATCAATAAAAAATAATTCATAAAACTTCTTAGAAATTGAAATACAATTCTCTCGCTTATATAAATTAAATACTAAAAATTTTCTTTAAAATACAGCATAAAAATTGAAGTACTTTATTATTCATTATAATTTGTTTTCTATTAATTAAAATTATTATAAAGGATTACATTATATTTCAATCGAAAAAAAGTGATAATTAACTTAAATACAGAGAATTTTTTTTGAAAATTGAAACTAAAATTAAATCCGATTAATTAGTGGTTAGACTGTAACTTTTTTTCTCTATGAAAATTATGAAATTCTGTTCCACATATACTACCCTTTTGTGGATCTATCATTCTCGTAGTGATATTCTACATGAAATTTAATCAGTCTCAAATAGAATGCAGAGAGAGAGAGAGGGGGGGGGATAAAAGAAGATTTGAGATCTCGAGGAAAGAGAGCTGTTATAGGGATATGGCTAAAGCATGCAAAAGTTGAAAAGAGCAAAATGTAGTTGGCACATATATATATCTAAGCATTGAAGCACCACCGCTGGTGCGCATGAATTACTCAAAGAAAGACAAATGGCTAGCCTCATAAACGTGGATATATTCTCTGGTAGCATACATGTTCATCATTTTTTTTTGTGGTCTTCGTGTACTAAAACTCGTTCTTAAATGTCAGATTATTCATTTCAGCACTCACTATATCTTTGAAATAATGCTATACTAAAATACTATTTGAATATAGATAATATTTCCTAATTGTTTTTTTTTCTAAAAAAAATTTTCTTTTCTTTTGCATCGAAAATACAGTCTACTCGCGATAAGACGAAGTCGAAGGGAGACAAAAAAAAACTTCCGAGTTATCGAAAAATTTGAGTTATCGTTTCGGGTAGTACGTGCAAAAAATTGAAACACTTTTTATTTGTTTGGAAATGATTAAATATGTATTTAATATTTTAACATTAGGTTACAATTTTATTGTTGAAAATTAAACTGGTTTACAAAAGTATTTCGTCAGAGTTGTCTGTTTTTTTTTTTTTTTTGATTTGATGAGGTTTTTGCAACAAAATTTTCAATTGTATATAGGGCTGAAAAAATCTCATCAGGAACATTCTGTTGCTCTTGGGCGTATTTTTGTAGCCCTAAAAAATAATTATTCGCTTGTATTGCCGTTGTAGGTGTACATATCTTTTTTTCGTTTAACACCCGATTCAACTTCCTTAATAATTTTTAATTTCTCGGTAATGCTGAGAGATTTTAATTTTCTTTTACTTTTCATATTGATAGTTCAAATAGACTGACTGTACTGAAGGAAAGTTGAGGAAAACAGTTGTACTCGAGGAATATACAAAGGACTTATTATTAATTAAATTGCTATAAAGCGTGACTCATATAAAACTGTTTATTTACTATGAAAGGATAAAATCTTTTAGTGTTTATTTTACTAGAATGTTAATTAATTTATTAAAGATAAACTCACAAATTTTGATTATTATAATATGAAGTCTATTTGCGATGCTTTAGCTGTGAGTAATTCTCAGAATTGGTCAGTGTTTTCCGAGAAACTACGGGGAAATTCGAGAATTGAAAAGAGGCTTGTGCCGTTGAATGAGTGTGATGAATGGCATTGGGGGTCGTCGGGGTGTGTGGAGATTTTTGATAATAAAAGTGGGATTCCTGGTCTTCTCTGTCATATAGCTCCTAGGACTTGAAAAGGGCCTAATCACGCCACGCACAAGTGTATCGCCGATAGCACATTGGTAACTTATATTCTTGAAATTTAGATTATTGAATTGTAAAGTGTTTAAATTTATTTATATTCAGAATTGTAGTGTTTTATTATTATTTAAAGGGTGTGGCGGTTTTTTATGCAATGGTGGGTGATCATATTTAAATTGGAGAAGAGACGTGAGATAGAAAAGTCCAGGAATCATCGATAGTTCGCAAGGTCACTTGGTCCAGGAATTCAGGATAATTTGGTCCGCAATTCCAAGCAGATTTTGAGGAAATTAATCTTTTGATATTTGGAAAGTTCCCGTTGCACACTGACGATCCTCATTTGCCGATTCGTTGGGTATTGGTTACAGACACCGTTATCTGATGTCGCCATTCTTCTCACCAAGTTTTCAATTTGTTTATTGTTACTGTCTATTTGTTTCATTGAAATCCATTTCCTTCTATAATTGTTCGACATATTTTGGGAATTGCATAATTCCCGTTCATATTTTTACATCTAGCAATTGTTCTTTTATTTTGTGTGTGTGTATTTAATATTTATGTGTATGAAAAGGTTACGAGAGATGTCTCTAAATTTCTAGTTTGAACAGAATTGTCGATGACGTAAACAAAGTAATTTTATAATTATCTTCATTGACTTTAAATATATATTGATTGAATTATTATTTAATATATTATTTTGCACCTTTAAAATATCTTAATTAATTTGTATAGGCTTAACCTGGTATTATTTGGAATTAAATTTATGTTTCTATTCTCCAAGTAATTTCAATTTGAAGTCATTAACTGAATTTTATATATAAATAAATAAATATTGTTACAACTATAAATATAATTAACAGAAATTCGACTTATCGAGATGTTATTCGACACTTGGGGTCGGCTTAAAACTTTCGACTTATCGAAAAATTTAAGTTATCGAAAAAAATTAACACACAATGCATATAGGATATGGACGGGACCCAAGAGTTACTTCGAATTATCGAAAAATTTGAGTTATCACGCTTTATCTTATCGAGAGTAGACTGTATTATTTTTATCTAAAAGTTCGACTACTTTTTCTTTTTTACATTCTCATAATTCATGGGGGAAATAAATTTTAGATCAATTTTAGTTAACTATCAGTTTTCGTATTTTTGTTGTCGTCACATTTTCCCTGAGAAATTCGACACTCGAAATATTATGAGAGGGCAGTTCAAGAGAGTCGCGCAAAATTGTCGATTTCACCTCTCTCTCTCTCTCTCTCTCGCCACACAATATGAAAGTAATTTTCGCTCACAAGAAAAGCGAATAGATATAGCATACAACCCATGTTGGCCGGCAATTTGGTCGTCATTGCTGTAATATATCAGCGACAATATACAATATATGCACAGAGATATATCCAAGAGGGTTCTGGATTTTCACGGGGGTCGAATCGTTATTTGCACGAGGTTGAAATGAGTAGGAGAATGAGGAGGAGGGAAATTTTGTTAGTAGTGGTGAATCGGCCGTACCGTAAATATTCGAGTTATGGGACGTAGGGTTACCCATAGCACGCGGTAAAATGTCGGTACTTGGCGTAAGCGAAGCTACAGATGTGTATATAAAGCATGGTGAGAGGTGTGGGAATAGATTTCCGCGCGGTAGCTGCAGATATTCCCATAAAAACTTACGGGCGGCTATTCGCGCGGCACTAGGGGGTCACGCAACGTAAAAGTGAAAAGACCTTGGAATATGCGATCCACACCAGAAACTGAAGGAAAGATAAGGTGGTTTCAGATTGGAAGAAACTTGTGAATTTTTCAAATTTACTGCGTCTTACACACTTTTTATGTCTTTTTTGTTAAAAGTTATAAAAAGCTCATTGGTGCGATAATAAATTAAAGATGTGAATTTTACGTTTATAATGGCGCCACGTAGCGGAGGCGTCGGTGAACTAAACTCAACCTTCCTTAAGTGAATTTCTGAGCTTATAATTAATTATTTATGAAACAAAACCATGTAATAAATGGAATTAGAAATCAGTGAGTTTTACTGGCGCCACGTAGCGGACGCATCGGTGAACTAATCACAGTTGATCAAAAGGCACCTTTATATTTGTTGAATTAAAAAATAATTTTTTAAAATAATAAAGGTTAAAAGAACCTGAAATAGCACACATTAGCCTTGCGAGTAACAATATATTACTACTTTAGATCGTAAAACCTCGCGAATACATTCACGTCAGCAAAAATGATTTCATCTTTCGAGCAAACATGTTTGTATGAACTAGTTACGTCAATTTTACTGCGGCTCTGGTAAATTCTAAGTGTGTGTATGTACCAAGCTAATAAATAACTTCAACTTCCTAAAGGCAAAAAAAAAAATTATATATTTTTTTAGTCTCCATGGTTTACATCGACAAATTCAACACTTTGTAGAAAATAGGATTGCTCCACGTTTCGTAGATGCAAATCATCTCTCGCAATTTATTCATAGCCAGAAGCCGAAATTCATGGCTGGTGGCGAACTCGTTCCTCGTTTGAAATTATTATAACTAAGTTAAACTTAGTCGGCGCCAAATCGACTAGCGTTCACAGTCAGTCAACGTTTTGACGAGGAAAAGAGAGAGAGAGAGGTGAGGTCATAGTGGTAGTAGTTTGACTTGTAATAAATTTTCAAACACGGGTCGAAGAGGAACCAAAACTGCCAAAACTATTCGAATGCTTGTAGAAGAAGTTGGCATTCCTGTTGGTAATATCATCTTTGGAAGGATAGAGATAGGGAAGGAGAATGAAAAGGGAATGGGAAGTGGTTGGAATGCGTTTGGCTTGGTTTGCTTTTAACATTGTGCCAAGGGTGTATGTGTATACCGCAAAGAATGGTGAAACCATCAAGATTACCAACGGCCACGTCAATTGAAGATGAATTTTTTTTTTTATAAATTACCATCTCATTTGAATGAGGAAATTTAATTTGGGTATTAAGAAAAAAAAATTCTTTTTCTACTTACCAGTATCGTTGTCACCCGGCACACCAAGACTGTCGCTATTGTCATTGATAAAGGCCTCCGCCGTTGATGTGAATGTTTGAGGCGAGAGTGTAAGATCCGGTCCACTCTCACTATCGAATAATTCTAAATTTCCGTTTCCTGAAACAAAAAAAAAATGGTAATTTTTAATTTCTTGTTTCACTGTTATCAAAAGGCAGACATCTGGTGGTGGCGTCTGTGAACTAAACCCCAAAAGGCGGGAAATTTAAAAATAGAATTACTAAATCAAGAAAAGAAGTAAATTAAAAGTTTTAAATAACCTGCCATCTTGCGGTGGCGTCTATGAACTAAGTGAAAAAAGGCGCGAAATTTAAAAAAAAGAAATACATACACAAAATCGTATTTAAAAAAAAACTCTTTTATAATTAAATTAAAGTAGAAAAAAGAGGAGCAATTTAAATTTTTAAAAATGATAATTAGGAAAAGCCTAATAATAACCAGGCTAATAATAATGGAATGGAATATAACCAACGTCTCTATATATATGTGTGGTTTGCGTTGTTCGTTTTGGGCCATTTACAAGCCAGATGAGTATATAGGGGCCGTTTACGCACTCGCGCACGTGAGTGTGTATATACCAGCAGCAATTTCTGATGCAGGACGGAAAGCTTCCAACCCTGCCCGAGCATTAACGATGGTACAATATGCATGGATAGAGCTCGTTCGAATCAACGCAGTCCCTTAGCCTACCACTTCTGTGTCCGTAAGCGTACAGATACAAGCATTAATTCAAAATGCTGGTATGCGTCTCCGCTGCGGATTAATATATTCCAGAATATCCGTGCAAGCGCTAATGCCAGTGCGGTAGTGCCATCACCGTTAGGTTAGTTAAATATGGAAATTCGCCCAAGCCCCACACACTACTCGGCTACAAAGGGCACTTCAACTCTAGTTCGAGGTTTCCATAAAAAAAAAAAAAAAAAAAAAAAATTTCTAAAAGTAAGCCACAAAAAAAAAATTATTCTACCCCTCTCACTTGCAAATTTTGTCACGCTCTAAATAATACTTACTCTCTGCCTACATAATTAAATTTTTTTAAATTTGCCGTTACATTAAAAAAAAACAAAAATTTTCAATCTCATTATAGAGTAATCAATACTCCTGTACGGAATTCATTAACCTAGACAAAAAGAGACTATCGTTTTATCAAAAAGTGATTTAAGAAATATGAGAATGAGAGAGAAAGTGTTAGGAGGGTGATTCTGAAAAAAGAATAATTCTCAACTCAAAGGTCGTTAAAAAAAAAGAAGTTCAACTTTCATAATAAAATTATAAAAAAAGTCAAATATTTACAAAACTTTTGTTCTCGTTTACGGTCCATGGAAAAGATGTCCTTGAGAATACTCTCCATCAGTGATAACAAGTTCCAACCTCATTTACCTGCACTTTTCTCTCACCTTTGATATATTTTTTTTTTCTTTTTTTATTTCCTTTTTATGAAATAAAAATCAAGAACTAGAAGAGCTCACTTATCTATGCGATTGGCGTTCGAACGATCCATCTCACAGTGTTTCAATTCAAAGGATGGCTATGGGTTCGACGTGACACAAAAGCCCATAGAAATAACCCATAACGAGGGTTGGATGCTTCCATCCTTCCCACTCCACCCCTTTAAAAGCCGGAACTAAACTTTGAGTGTCGCGCATAACGTTGTCCCTTTTGCTCCATGATGGCCGGCAGTAAATTCTCCAACGACAGAAATAATATTTTTTTTTATGAAAACGATTTTTTTTTAAAATTTAATATTTATTCAAAAAGATTATAATTACGTATTTAATGTCTTGGCGAAAAGTAGCACCACCTGGCGGAGGCGTGGGGTAACTAAGTGGCGCCATCTAGCGAACGCGTCCAGAAAATTTCTAACTTCAGTACTAAAAATTGTATTAAAAATTACATTTTAATTAAATCGTCTATATTTAGAAAAAAATGTTTTAATTAAATTCTTTTTGTAATTAATATCGAAATCCAAATTAATAGTCTAGAGGATTCAGTTAGTGGGACGCGAGGATGGCTGATTCATAATAATCAAGGCACTCGAGGGTATCTAAAGCAACGATACTCATCCATAGAGACTAAATTGGCTCGTATTACACGGGAAGTCAGGCATTCCACACGTTCCAACTTCATTGAAATTTTCAAAGAATGCAATTCAATGTTCAATGAGTTATTTGCAAATTATATTTAGCCACGGTAATTTGTTATAATAGGTAAGCTAAATTAAAAGTTAAATCAAGTTTAAAAAAGAAATAATAAAAAAAAAATTAATAAAATTTAAAAAAAAATTTTTTATCAGAATTTATTTTATCTCTCAGTATATAAATAAAAATAGTTTTTAGTATCTGAAAGGTCACATTTTTTTTTGTGTCAGGATTGATTTGTATCGAATTGAAGAGGACGAGACGTGCAATAAGGTGAACGATATTTAGGATGGATAGCAATTTAGACACCCTTCCCGTATAATTCCGCATATCTGCGACCTACTCTATTATATCTCGTCTCTCTCTCTCTCTGATCGATTTGAGAGAGTCAGCTTTTCTACCTTTCTACAGCTCGCACCCACGTGCGGCCCTTTTGCCTCACACTCGTTTCATATCACCCCTTTTTCCTATTTTCTCAGGCAGCTCTCTCGATGGCCCAGTCGAAGCTCATCCATATACATCGAGAAAATTAATATCTGGGCTTCCGTCGTAGTCGTTGGGTTCGTTCGCGCTCTGAATAAACTTCGTGCATCGTCTCCCCCCTTTTACCCCCGCGTCCTCTCACAACTCAAACCACAACTGTCTAACAAAGTCGGTAGCACTATCGACATCATGATTCTGTTGAAGGTTCAAATAAATCTCCCTTTCCTCCTATGGTTGGGAATGATTTACTTTTTATTTACTTTTTAATTTTACTTGTATGTAACTAATGGAGCCATGTAGTGGACGCGTCGTTGAACTAAAATAAATAAAATTTCAAATTGTGCTTCTATGATTTATTTACCCACAAAAACTTTAGATAAATTTTCTTGGGTTAATTTCTGAGCTTTAATCAAATTAACAATTTGCTTATTTATTTTTCAAAATAAACTGTCGTAATCGGTAAATAATTATTTTATCTATCAAATCTTGGATGAATTTTTGGGCTAAATTATTAATTTTTTTTATTTCCTAATGTTATATTTACTTACATGTTCTTTAATTCTACAAAAACTAATTGAATGTAAAAAGTTTTTAGTTATCCCACGCGTTCGTTAGGTTCAATAACCTGCCATCTTCCGGTGGCGTCTGTGAACTAAACAAAAAAGGCGCGAAATTTAAAAAAAGAATTACACAATTAAAATCGTATTTAGTAAAAAAAAAACTCTTTTATAATTAATTAAATTTTTTTATACTTATTTTTTTTATAATTAATTAGTTCGCTAGGTGGCGCCAATTAAGTAGTTATCCCACGCCGTTGTTATCTACCAAATATTATTCTAACCGTCAACTATATTTGGTAGATAACAATGGCGTGCGGTAACTACTTAACCGGCGCCACCTAGCGAACGCGTGGGGTAACTAAAAACTTTTTACATTCAATTAGTTTCGTAGAATTAAAGAATATGTAAGTAAATATAACATTAGGAAATAAAAAAAAATTAAGCTTAATAAATAATAGTCTTTGGGAAAATGAGACACCATCTCAATAGATAGAGGAGGTGGTGTTCGCTACTTAATTTTAATTAACGAAAATGAGTAAGCGAGGTCGAGATCACGGGAAGGTCCTTTCTTACCTCGAAGTGACAATATGCAAATTATATCGGAGGTCCTTGTGTCTTCAGCATTGCAGTTGCCAGAGTGGTATTATGAAACTTAAGCCGTAGCGCACAAGTGTCGCGTTTTGCGAGTTCCACTGCACCCCCCCCCACTCCCTTCCCCCTTCTTCTTCTTCTTTACCCCTCTACCCCACCTCTCATTGCTACCTTTTGTACGGCATAAGCTGCAGCCATTATCTCGACCTCCTCGCGCGTTCCTACACCTTCGAAACTTTAAGTTAGTACACCCCTGTCGCTCGTCGACAACTTCCCATCCTTCTCTTTCTCCTTTAACCCTCCCATTCTACAAGTTCATGGTTCTTCCCCATAGGAGAGTGTTCTCTTGGCTATTCTGAGAAGCATACAACGAAGTTGGTATGAGAGAATTTTGGTATTTGAATTTCAAGTTCTGAACTGAGTGCGCGAGGAGCTTTTGGAGATGTAGCTCTGTCTTTTGGCTAAAAGTTCAAGATATTATTTCAATTTTGATAAAGACTTGGATTTTAATTTTATAAAATAGAAAAATACTTTTTTAAATGTAGAAATATTTCAGTTTTGATAAATTGCTTTTTGAATTACATTTTAATGAAGGTATTACTGGATTACTTTTTAAATGAAATACTATGGTTTTATAATGCAGTACTTGGGGGAAAATAAAATGCTCACGAATGAAAAAAAAGTGATTGATGAAGGAAATAATAAAAGCAATTTAAAATAGAAATTTAATTAAGAAAAATAATTTTTTTTTGTCAATGTATTTTTTTATATTTTAAAAAAATTATATGGATGAGTATACCTCTCTTTTGGGAGGATATAATGGCGTGTTATTAGCAAGAGTACGTAGGGAAGGTTAGGTTTTTAAGCTCTAAGAAATTAGCCTGAAATATTTCCCTAGGAATTCGCTCGTAAATTAAACTCTGTTGGCGCGTGATACTTTCTTTAGAGAAAGCTTCTTCTACGCGCTTCCACCTCCGCCAGGATGGTGGTGGTAGTAGTAGTGGTAGTAGTATGGGTAAAATCGTGTTTTCCCAGCCAAAAGATTAATGCAACTGCAAACCAGAGAACGATCACTGCTTTTTATAATCACCCCCTACTTCTGTGATTTTTCAACGTTTTATAAATAAAAATTTTGTCTACTAACTTTTTATTGTATTGCCTAAGTTTAAGTTAATAAAATATGTTAAAAAATAATAATAAATACTCTTAAAATGTAAAACGAGCTTAGTCAACAAACACCACTAACCTCAAAATTTTGTATTTAGAAAATCTACCAAATTGAATCGAATATATAAAATAATTATCAACCATTTTGTAATGTTTCTCT